CGGCTCATGGCCCGAGGCGCATGCGATCGTTGCTTATGGCTGGCGGGGTGCCGCGGGGAACCCGCGGAGCCCCGCGGACTACCGCGCTCGCGGATTGCGGCATAGGGCTCGCTGCTCGGATCACCGAGCCTCGAGCACAATGCTGTTGGGCGCATGGGGGTCGGGCTTCAGCGTCCACGCCCATGGCTCGGGGCATGGGGCGCAGGGCGCAGTGCTCAAGGTTTACATTCCAGGGCCTCGGGCTCAGGGCTCAGGGCGTAGCACTTTGGCATTCGGACTTGAGGCGTCGGGCGTCGTGTTTAAGCCATGCGGAGTCTGGCCTCGGGCGGTGGGTTTCGAGCGTCGGGCTCAAGGCTCACGGCGTTCGGCCCAGGGCACAGGGCTCAATGTTTGCGGCATGGAGCTGCGGGCTGAGGGCGTCGGGCATCAAGTCTATGGCTGAAGGTTTGAGGCTTGGGGCTCGGGGCTTAACAACATGTGGCTTCTGACTGTGAGCATGCGGCTTGGGCACTGCAGCCCCGCGCGCAGGGCCAGAAGCCCAGGGCGCTACTCAGTATGCCTAGGGCCTGAGAGGCACGGTGCGGTACTAAGGGCATCGGGCTTGGGGCTCTGGGCTCTGACCTTCGAGCATGAGGTTTAAGGTTCGGTAACTGCCAGGGCTTGCGGCGTAGGGCGTAAGGCCTGAGGGCCCGCTGCGGCTTTCGATGCAGCGGGTGGCGCGACCTAGTCGACGCCTGCTCTACTCTGCGTCCGTCAAGCGGCCAATTGCGCGATCGTCCTGGGGCCGCAGGGGCGTCGCCGATATGGCAATCCCTTCAGTGGGCGCGCGACGTGGGCACGTGGCACGAGCCGCCCAATCCCGCGGGCGCAGCGGCGCTGCGTCGGATCACCTACTTTCAGCACGCGCAAGGGGCGGGACCAACCGCCAACCACGACATGGAATACGCGCCGAAATTCAGCGCGTACCTTGGACACGAGCCGAATTACCGCGCAGAATTTAAGTGAATTTCGCTACTTGTTTTGAGCGTAAATTTAAGTCGACCGAGGCAGGGGATTTAAAGTAAATTTGTACAGAGTTAAAGTAAAAACGTACGAATTTAAAGTAGCGAGCCCAGGACGTACCTAGGACGTACTTCGGGACGTACTCGTGAACGTACTCCTGAACGTACCTCGGACGGGCGAGGTATTTCGCAACGTACTTCTGAACGTACCTCGGACGGGCGAGGCATTCGGCAACGTACCCTTGAACGTACTTACTAGTCGACGTGTTGTGCTACTCGTATCTGCGACTCGTCAGTACAAGAGTGCCAGATTTTCGCGAAGTCCCCCCCCCCCCACCCTGGAGTCCGAAATTTTGCAAAGTACCCCCCCCCCGACCCGCGCGCGCCCTCAACGATGACATCCATATCCGCTGCAGAGCCCACCCTGGGGCCCGCGCCAATGGGGATTGCTGGGGGCCAAAGGCACCGCAATTGAATGTATTGGGATGCGAATTCGCGCGGCGCCGTTGGCCTAGCGCGCGCGACTGGGGCCGCCTGGGCCCGCAGCTGGGCTGGGGGATGGGGGCGGCGTTGCGTTGGCGAGACTACAGCGGCGCCGCCCGCGCGAGGGGGGGTCGACTGCGCGAGCGTCTGGGCGGGGTGGGCGCGCGCGCAAATGCGCAAGAGCGAATGGGGCCGCGGCGCGCCTGCGAATTAAGCGTTGCTGTCGGGGGCTGGGGCCGCGGCAGACGAGACCCCCTCGGCGGGGGATGCCCCAGCTGCCGAGCGCGGAGGGGTGAGGGGGGCGGTGATGCGCGCGAATCGGGCTGTTCGGGCAGAAGCTCGAGGCGCCATGCCTTTCGCGCCGACGGGGCCGCGCGCAGGTTGGGCGGATGGCGGGGCATTCGGCGCGCCTGGGGGCGCCAAGCTCGCGCTGTGACGCGCGCGCCGTCTACGGCAATGCCAACCCGATGCAGATGCAGGAATATCGCGTCGAGCGCCAGGTCTACTATGAGAGATAGCTCGCATGGGGCCGCGGCCTCCCCCTTTGAGTTGCGGAGAAGCTTGCGGGGTCCATGGGGGGGGGCCTTTGTACCCCGCCAACCGAGCCAAGTCTCTGGCACAGCGCGAACAGCTGGCGCCCAAGCACATGCCGTCTAGGCCGCTGGTCAAACAACTGCTCTGCAGAATCTGCTGAGCCTGTGGGATGAGTCGTCGATCCCAAGTGGGCGTTCCGCGGGGTATGCACATCGTCTAGCACCGCGCCCCGCCCACCTCGACAGCGAGACCTGCGGGTGCCATTGTGGGGCGTTCATGTATCCTGTCAATATATCCCAGTGCCTGACTTTTCGGGGTCAGCTGGCATGCTGACGTGCGCATCATACGTCGATGCTCCAGCTAGTGCCTGGCTGGAGCTGCTGGGGTACCAAGCTCGGCAATATTGCCCCAGCGGGCGCGGTTCAGGGGGCAGCTCGTCCATCAGCTTATCGCCCCCAACCCTCTTCGGTTGGCAATCGGCCTGCGCGTGGCAATCCCTGCATGCTGCCGCGCTGGCTCTGTCTGCGACGGTGAGCGAACGCCTGACATGCAGGTAGCCGCTCTCTAAGATTATGTGTCGGCCGCACTTTTGGCTGGAGCTGTCAGTCCCTGAGACTGGGCTGACCCGCTCCAGTCGGCGGGTTGCAAGGAGCAGCGCGTCTGGCGCCCATGCTCTCCCGCCGACAGAGAGGATGCCTCTAGGGGTGGCGCAGGCGCCCGTGTCCCCTGCCACGCAATTCCGATCACTGGCAACGTGGGCAGTCGGCGAGCGGACAGGCGCTACAGATGCTGAAGCTTCTGCGTTAGCGATTTCTCTGTCGGGGCCGATGGGTGCTTGGGCCGAGGCGCCCTGCCCCGATAGGTCGGATAAGGGGGGGGGCTCAAACCTGCGCCGCGCCCTGCCCGCGCTGGCTGCAGCCGAGATACCCGCGGTTGGCGTGGCCGCGTTTCTATATGTTGCCACCCCCATCGGGTCTTCGACAGCTCGTGGTAACAATTGGCACGCAAACGCGCGCGTTGCAGGTCCCTGTTCCAGCCGCTGCACGGCTGGAACTGGCGGGCCCTGGGGCGAGTCGCCTCGCCCGTGGTTCGCTAGCGGGGGCAAGTCGTCGAGTGCCCTGCCTACTGCAGCATTGTTGCTGGGAGACGCGCAGGATGCACGGGTGCGTCGCTGACTCCGCTCAGCACAGCTCAGTCCAAGAGGGTGCGCGAGCAGCTGGCCTGCAGAAAGCTTTCCTGGATTTCCCTTTGTCCAGCCGCTACCCAGCTATCGTTGCCGTTGCTTCGCGCCGCGCCACCCTGCCTCCGTTTGTCTGCCGCGCGGGACAGCTGGCCCAGCACCTTGCCTCTCCCTCAGGGAACCTGGGGCGCTTGCGCCGACAGAGCCCGCCCCGCTGGGCATTGCGAGGAGGGTTGCTGGAGCGCCCCTCGCGGGGCTTGTTGGCGAGCCCCATTGCCCGCGGACCCCGCCGCAGCCAGCCAGCCAGCCGCTGGGAACAGCGGCGAAGTATGTGCGGGCCTTGGGCGCGGCAGTTGCCACGTTCGATTGTTCCGCTGAGTAGCTGCCATTGCGCAATGTGCCGCGGTGAACCATGGGCGAGCGCCTTGGCTCTGAATTCTGCATCGCCGCGGGTCTAGGAGACGCTACAAACGAGCATATAATCAGCCGCTCGCGCCCAGCCGCGGCACCGATCTTGCCCCTTGCCAGGGGGCATCGGGTTCGAGAGCCTGGCTTGCGGACGACCTGGTTGCGTGGACCTGAGACCTTTGGCGGCGTCGGAGATCCCCGATGGGGCCGCGGGGGCTGCGCGGCGCCATTGGGCGTCCTGGGGCCCAGTGAGAAGCCGTGGAAGCCCACGCGGGGCGCACGGGAGCCATGGAAATCCATCGGGTGCTCCTGCGCACCGAGGGGCCAGCGGCCGCCCAATGGAACCATTCGGATTACATGACTCCGCAGGGCGAGCCCCCCCCCGATAACACCGATGGCTCCCCGTGGGCCCCACTTGGCCCCGATGATTCAGCCGCCGCTTGCGACGCGCGATGGCGCGCGAAGCGCTGCGCGCGCTCCCGCGCGCGACGATTCGCGCGCGAACCGCGTCCATTGACGCCGTTGGCCCCTCGGGCAACGTGGAACCCTACTACAAGGAGCCCCTGAAGGCGGCCGCGAGCTTCCACGGCCTTGTACCCCAATGAGTGGGGTGCAAGGTATATTGCCCCCCCCCCGCGGATCTACCGCGGCAACCGGAGCCACGGGGTGGATGCTCGCGGAGCGTCCACCCAGTGGGGCGTCTTGGTGGGCTTCTAGGTGGGCGTCTTGGTGGGCTTCTTTGGAGGGCGTCTTGGTGTGTTTCTTGGAGGGCGTCTAGGTGGGCTTCTTGGGGGGTGTCTCGGTGGGCTTCTAGGTGGGTGTCTGGGGGGGCGTCTTGGCGGGCTTCTTGGAGGGCGTCTAGGTGGGCTTCTTGGGGGGCGTCTCGGTGGGCTTCTAGGGGGGCTTCTTGGAGGATGTCTTGGTGGGCTTCTTGGACGGCATCTAGGTGGGCTTCTAGGGGGGCGTCTAGGGGTCCCAACACAACGTCTCTGTTGGCATCTAGGTCGCCCTTGCCGTCCCACATCACAGCCACACGCTCCATTGAAAAGCCTGCATTCATTCCAGACGTCGGAGATAGCACTTGCGATGTTGTTGAGGCTTCATATTATCATATGCGTTTCTTTTGATCACTTGGGAGCCGCGGTGTTTCTGTTGATCGCTGACATTTTGCGCATCTGTGAGGGTTCCCGTCATTGTCTGATGCGTTGTCTCATTCTCCTATCAACGCCACACTTTGCCACTTGTGCTCAGCTGACCCAGACGGGTCGTCCGAGATTGTGGTTTCCACTACTCCCCCCGTGGCCCCACACCCATATCAAGGTCACTTCCATATTGCAGAATCATATCCATGTCGGCTCGTTCTGCAGAGGGGAGCCAGCTGCAAAGAGGGCAAGGGCTCCGACTGTCTGCCAGTGCTCTGCCTGCGGGATCAAGAGCAATCAATGCCCTGGGAGTCGAGTGGGCCGACACCGCGGAGGCTAAGGGCACAAAGAACATCATTCCCAAAGGGTCCGCCTGCGTGAAGTGCTGGAACCTATTCGAGGAGGCTTTCTCGCACAAGGGCTCCTTCGACGAAGTTTGCGAGCTCAAGGCGGCGGACCCTGCCATCCAGACGGATTGGGACCAAGCCTGCGAGGTCAAGTACGGCGACGGCGCTGTCCCTTTCGACCAGGTGCAGCTTTCTTCGGATTCGAAAGACGGGGTGGTCATCTGCAAGTCTTTCGTGGGCCCGACCCCCAAGGAGTTCAAGGATCACTTCAAGCGGACTCCAGAGCAGGCTGGTCTCAAGCTCCAGGACCTTCCAGGGGCCAACGGCAAGCAGTACAAAGGAGTACTGATGGTCAATCCCTGGCGCCCCTGGACAGAGTTCAATGTGATGACCAGTACTGCCATCAACAGGATGAACATCGCCCTGAGGGCTGAGAACCATTGCTACGAGAGCCAGGCAACTGAGTTAGGCGCCACCCTCACCCAGGGCCACAAGAAGGACAAGTTGATTGCGGCAACCAGGGCGTGCAAGATCACGGCGCCAGAGATCATGGCTAAGTGTCGTCGGCAGCGCAAGGATCTTGGGCTCGGCTCTTCTGATGACGAGGTCGCGCCTGCGTCTGGGTCGGTGATTCTGCCCATTCGGCTGGATGCCCCCCCAGAGGACGACGGCGACGACAAGGAGTCCGACGCGGGCGGTGGGCCGTCCGTGGAGCCCGACAGCGGAGCAGAGGACGCCCCCAACAGGACCAACCGGCCCCAGCACAAACCGGCTATCCAGAGCTTGGGTCGAGCTCTATCTTCTCTTGGTGCTCGCAGCGTCCTGGCTGGTGGAGGTGCTTCCGTGCGGAGTCCTGGTGATAAGCCTCGCGGCAGCGGCGTCCCGAGGAACGAGAGCCCTCAGGAGATGTGCGAAAGGAAGATTGCCGCCGTGCCCATCGAGCAGATTCTGTCCACGAGGAAGAGCTACGGCACTCAGATTCGCTGGGGCAAGGAGGCCCTCAAAGAGTTGCAAAGCAAAGGGCATACCGAAGAGGCCGACCGCTTGGAGAAACACCTGGACCTCGCGGAGAGGGCCCAGTTCTTCGTGGACAAGAACCTCGCTAAGGCTACTTGGGATCAGATCGAGCGCCATGCCAGTGCCTTGGTTGCGGGAGGTATCCAGTTCGACTCGCGGTTGAAGGACGAGCTTCATGATAGATTGGTCACTCACGTCGTATCTCAGCATGTATTGGACATCGGCCTGGCCACGTCGATGCTGGCCGTGGCAGTGGATCGGCAGAATCCCGAGTTCGACCCTTCTGTATGCAGCATCGCTACCCTCGACGGCTCCAATGTGGACAAGGCCTCCAGATTGAAGCGTGATTTCTATATCAGGGCTCTCTGCCACGGCCGCCGACGCCTGGGAGGAGGTGTAGGAGGGAGGAGGACAGACGGAGGAGGTAGGAGTAGGGAGGGTGGCTGCAGGTAGGAGGAGGGAGGGGGAGGAGGAGGGAGCTACGAGTAGGGAGGGTGAGTTAGCAGGTAGGAGGAGGGAGGAGGTAGGAGGAGTAGGAGGTAGGAAAAGGGAGGAGGTAGGAGTAGGAGTTGGGAATAGGGAGGAGGTAGGAGTAGGAGTTAGAGAAGGAGGTAGGAGGTAGGAGTCGGACTAGGGAGGAGGTAGGAGCGAAGCGCGTTAACAAAGGTGTCCCCCCCCTGGGGGCAGCAGTGTTGTTAGCAAAGCGAAGGAGGGAGGAGGTTGGAGCAACGCGTGTTAATAAAGTTGCCCCCCCTCAGGACAGGAGGAAGGAGGTAGGAGCGAAGCGTGTTGACGAAGTTGCCCCTCCCCCTCTCTTACTCGCCCCCCACCGTATGTATTACTCATCCCAACTATCTCCTTTTCCATGTCCTATTCCCTCTCCTTCCTCCCTCCTGGCACACATTGTCGCCGCTCTCCCGACCCCTTCCTATCCAAAGCCTCTAACCTCTAGCCTCTGGACCCTCGCTGAACGCCCCTCGCCCTCGATCCTCGCATCCTCGCCTATCGTTCCCAACATCACCTCCTCATCTCGCGCCCCGTCGGCCCTCGGCCCTCGTCGATCGTCCGTCCTCCTTCCCCCTCCGCTGTCGGCCCACGGCTTGGTTGCCCCATTCGAGGGTGCGCGGACACGGTGTTCACACAGCTCCTGGATAAGGGCTCTCAGCTCAGAGCCGATGTCACATCCTTGGCTTCTACTGCACATCACAACATGACAGCAGATCTATCAAATCTGCCCGAGGCATTCGATGACGTTGTGTCCGAGGTTGCGTTCTGCTGCAGGGTGATCCTCCTCCTCGGTGGCGCAGACTACGAGTGGATATCGCAAGGAGTCCAGCTTGACGCCATCGACATAAAGCATGGTGACCCGAAGACCCCTGGTTTCAAGCTCGCCAGGGCCGTCAGGAGGAACCGCTTCTGGAACGAACTCTTGAACCAAGTCTGCGACAACCAAGTGGCTATCGAGACTAAGCTGCCCGAGATGCTAGCGGTCAAAGTCTACGAGGGTCCAGATTCCCAGCTCGAGCGCCACAGTGACATCCAGGGGCTCATGGAAGAGTCGCTGAGGCAGGCGAACCTTGTCAAGGACACCAACGGGCAGGTGCCATCGTGGTTTTGCAATGGGTTTCACGATCGAGTTTCTTCGAATATCGAGAAGATGTTTGCTACGTGGTGGCAGGCGTCTGAAGACAAAAGCTGCGAGGACCTGGACGTATGGAACTTGATTGTCACGACTTGCAAGGATAACCTCGCAGGGGGCCTTGTGACTTGGAGCAGCATGGGAAAAGATATCACTGACATGAGTAAGACCAGAGCCAAAGAGGTTAACGTCCAACAGCTGATGGCGATCACCAATGCTCCGACGGACACGTACGACATCAGCCAGCAAACAATGGATTCTATCGAAAAGCACGTGAAAGAGATCTTGCAGTCCATCACTGGAGATCTCGTCAACGATACCTGTCTCATGAATGCTGAGTGCGTCGAGAGCATCCGCAATTGGCTGGTCAATGTTCATTCTTACGCGTTTGGCTCTCTCGATGTCGGGGTTCACGGCAGGGCCGCGCAGGTCACCGATCATCTCCAGATCATCGCAAAGTTACACGGGTCCCTCACTGCGTCCATTCCGATTCTCAAGGATTGGTCAAGCACCGTCGAGAAGAAGGACCTCTTCATGAGCCTCGGAGCCGATGCCGTGTCTCGCGTTCAAGCTGATTCTACCATGGACAAGTTCAAGGCCGCCCTCTTCAGCAACCGCGACCTGCTCGATAAGTTCGGCGACGCGTTGCCCTCGCATGCGCAGGACTCGACAATCCACCAAGAGCTTCAGAAGTACAACACCACCCTCATGGAGTACAAGGCGTTGTTCTTAGAGGCTTTCAGGGCCAAAGCCGATGAGCAGTTGACCAGCTTGGAGAGTCTGTGCCAGGGTACGCACGATGGCACGTCGTGGGCGGCTGGTTTCAAAGGCAACTTCAAAGACATCCTCAAGCATGCGGCGTCCACCCTGATGAAGTTCGATGGCGACAAGTTGGATGCGCAGATGGACTCGACTATTCAGTGTATGAGTGCCTACTCCAACTGTCTCGCAGTCTTCAATGAGACGACCCCTGCGGCCACCACCGAGCGTGCCAAGAAGGCATACGACCGCGGCAATGCGACCATCCAAGAGTTCCTCATGATAACGGCCTTCACCGCAGGTGGCAACGACATCGCCCTCAAGAGGAAGATGGGCCCGCTGGTGACGAAGGTCAAGCAGCAGCCAGCGGTGCAGGCAAACATTCACAGCGCGCTGTGGGCACAGGCGACGGCGGTCACTACCACGGCGACCCCCATCTCGGCAGGAGGTTCCAGCAGCAGCGGCGCCAAGGCCGCGCCACCGACTCCGAAGTGATGACCAGATCAGTGCATCAGGGTGGATTGAAATGGAGTATATTCATATCGTGAGAGGATTGTGGTGCATTGGTATATTATAATTTTGCGTGTAGTGCCGCGCCAGGCGGCACTGGACAAGTACATGACCGACGGCTTCGTCGGCTGGCGGGCTGTACGCCGCCATGGAGAAGCGTATATCCCCCCTCCGTCCTCCCTCCTGCCACCTCCTGCCACCTCCCTCTATGCTCTCCTGCGCTCCGTTCCCCTGCCTACTTTCTCCTCCTCTCCCCCACCCCCAGAATGCCTGTCTAACTCCTGGGGCCCGTGTTCCACCTCTGCTGTTCCCCCTTCTCCTGCTATCTTCTTTCCCCATCCACCCTGCAACAGTCCTTCCTATTAACACTTCCCCCCTCTCGTCATGCGCCTTCTTCCCTCCTCCACCCCGCTCCCAACTCGTAGTTTATGCAGGCGCTCTGGGGGAGGGAGTGGGGTAGAGGGGGGGGGATAGAGGATCAGGAGGAGCAAGGGGGTGGAACGGACGCAAGCAACGCAGGGAGAAACCAGGAAACAGGAGGGGGAGGGGGGAGGGGAGGGGGGAGAGGAATGAAGGAAGGAAGCCTACTCCTTCTCCTACTCCTCGTTCCCCATCCCCCTCCCCCTCCTCACCCTACCTCTCTTCCTCCTACTCCTACTCATCGTTCCCTCCTCTCTCTCCTCTCGGGGCGGGCTCCCTCCCCCTCTTGTTCCTCTTTCCTCTGTGGGCGGGCTCCCTCCTCCTCCTACTCCTCGTTCCCCCTCCCCCTTCCACCTCCCCCTCCCCTTCTCTCTCTTTCCCCTCCCCCTCCCTCCTTGCCCCCAGACTTTCTTGCAGGAGGCTTGCGCCACCGCCGCGTGCATCCTGACATCTCCAAGCCCTACGGGGCTGCTCGCGTGGGCGCCCACGTGGATGTCTTGCATCGCATAGCATAGCATGGCATTGCATTGATCGTGCGAGTGGGTCTCGGCATGGCCGTCCAATTGGATATCGCGCATGACATGACATAGGATAGGCATGTGATTGCATGTCATTGCGCAGGACAGTGCAACATACTGCGGCACATCGTATAAACATGCGTCATACTACTGCACGTCTGCGCGCTGCAAACGATCATTGGATAGTGCAACATTCGCGGCAACATTTAGTGATGGCTGCGTGTTGAGCTCGCTCGCGATCCGTTGTGCGAGCGGCGGTTGAATAACGTTTAGGGGCATATGTGGATGCAGCGTCCCTCGTGAGTCGTCGCGCGCCTTCTGTGCCTGTCACGACCGCCTGGGCCCGTGTTTTCTGGCGTGGCCTGGTTGCGTCTTGGTAGGTTTCGGTGGTTGCGCGTGTGGTCGAACTGGTGGCCGCGCGATTCGCCGAGCGGGGTTGTGTGGTTGGGAACGTATCGCGATTTTAGCCACGCGCTTCATCGGTGTTTTCAATTAAGTAGCGGTGTACTCGGAAACGTACTTTTTACGTATTTGGGCGAGTAAGGGATTTTCGGCGCTGTAGGAGGACAGAATCATCATAACGCAAGATCGGCTACACGTAAGAGGGACCCCTCGCCGGAGTGGCCTTTGGTGCGGGCCCATTGGGGTCCCCGATCGCCGAACGCGAGGCGGCAGTGGCGTCTTGCGCGCTTGTGTTTGGCCCTCCCGCGGCGCCCCAAAAGCCGCGCACCAAAGGTCACTCTTACCCAGGGTCACTCTTACGCGTAGCCGGCAAGAGTGACCACTCGCTGGAGTGACCATTGGTGCTGGCCCACAGGGATGGCCCCAGCATCGGCCTGCGCGGTTGAATCTGGCTCCCTCCCGCGGCCCTAGAAAGCCGTACGCCAAGGGACTCCTAGCCAGGGTCCTTCTTGCGGTTAGGCGAACCACTTGAGCGACGTGCGACAGGGGGGGGGTTGCATTGTGTGGGCAGTGGCGCGTGAGCTGCTCGCGCAAAGTCGCGCGTCGGCGGCCTCCCTTCCACGCTGGCGGCCAGCGCAAGTGGTCTGCGCGGGCCAAACCATTTAGACCCCAGGGTCTTCGTCGCCACGCTCTCTCGCGCAACACCTCCTTGCCCTCGTCTTTCACACTTACCCTGCCCCTGCGGGCCAAGACGGCACTGGGAAATTCGACAGCCCTTGACGGGGTCCTCTCTGTCGCGGACGTCGTCCACATCCTGGCCCGCCTGGCCCGCGGGGGCAGGACGCGCACATGGTTGTCGCGGGAAGCCCAGGGGGGGGGTCCACCCAGCCCAGAGGGCTTCGACTCTGCATCACCACTGAGCCGAGCATCCGGCAGGACGCGTGGGCAGAAGAGCGCGCCGTTGGCAACCCTTCGGACAGTGCGAAAAGAGAGACACAGGAAGAAGAGTAATGGGGGGAGCAGACAAGGGAGATAGCATAGCAACATAATGAGGTGGCCGCGTTTCCCGCACCGCGGCCGAGCAACCCGAAAAGGGCGAGAGGCAATGTTCCCTTCTCCTCTTCATGGGTTCACCCCAAGAGCCTCCAGCCTGCAGAGGAGACACCCGCGCGGCCGCTCAGGGGCCGCTGTGACGCGGCGCGCTAACCCAGTCGTCCAGGAGGAAACCACAAAAGGTATCATTGAGGCGATGAAGCAGTCTCCGGTACCAGTCCCGCAGCCAGACGACCCCTTTGGCACCTTCTTGTTCACGTTCGTGGCCCCAGTCGGCGTGGCACTGTTCTCCGTGTTCATGCTGTTCATCTTCTCGCCAGAGTCCATCCTTGGCAAGGACCAGATGAAAGAGTACACTGAAGCCGAGATCGCGCTTGAGGAGAAGCGGCGTGGCGTTAAAGCACCGGCCCCGCAGAGTCGCGGTGTTCGCAGGCGTCAGAGGCGGGAGCAGCAGAAGAATGCGTAGGTTGGCAGTCGCCGCGCTCGGTGGTCCCCGTCCGTGTGAGAATCTCCGGCTGCCAGGCCCGCTTGCCTGGGGACGTCACAGACGGGGACACCGCGAGATCCATGGGGGATGCGAGCGACCGGAGAGGGTGTCGGCTGCCAGATGCAGTTTTCTTTGTGGGCGATGCTCCCCATTGGCCCATATCTCCACTCAGGACGCCCTGGGCCTAGGCCTGCCCGCCGCCGCCTCAGTCAAGGGCGGCGTTAGGGGGGATAGGCTCAGGGGGGAACGCATCGACTCCAAATCGCGCCCATTCATTTCCGATCGGGGCTCCATAGCCTACCTGCCCCGTCCAGGAGAGTGCGGTTTCGCTATCGGGGGTCCGTCGCCGATCCCTCCCGAGTCACTGCCCCCCCTATCGTTCTACCTCGCTCAGGGTAGCGTCGTTGCGCTTCCTGCGCAGTGCCAGCTCATTCTTGATCGGCGCGCCCGGGGCAGTGCCAGCTCATTCTTTCTCGGCGGCGCGCCTGGGGGGGGGAAGTGAGGAGGAGCAGGCCTTCTCAGAATGCGGCGGGGCTTCGGCCTTCTGAGAAGTGCTCTGCGTCTCCGCGGAGGGCTCTTCAAGAAAGCCCGAGGACTTCCGAGCTGTCTCAGAAGGCCTGTTCCTGCTCGCTTCCCCCCGCAGGGCGCGCCGGAGAATTGAATGGGAACAAACAGGGACAGAAGCATAAAGAACCTTGAGAACCGCGCGGGTTTCTTGGATCGGCGCCAGAGGCGGCGCCAGTGGCCCCCAGCGCTGATCACAGGAATCCGTGCGGAGCTCCGACTCTTTTGGTTCTTGTCGTTGGCTGTTCCCTGAATGTAGGCCTCTCCAGTTTTCACGCAGAGCTCGGTTTTTTCTTAAATGCGGTTGGCAATCCTGGAGGGTGGATGGCGCGGCGCGCCGCCCATCCACTTTCTCCTTCTGCTGCCCCTTCCTGTCCCCCTCCTCCGCCTCCTCCTCCTCCTCCTCCTTTCCCCCCTCCTCCTCCCTCCTGGTCCTGCCTCCTCCTGCATCCTCCTGCCTCCCCCCTGCCTGCATCCTCCTCCGTGTTCCCTGCGAAGAGCACGTGAGTATCCAACGACTCCCTTGACCAGCTCTGACTCTTTTGATGAGGGGCTGCCGCAAGACGGAAGTGCAAGCGAAAGAGAGCCCCAAGATGCAGGGAGGAGGGATGACGTGGGAGGACGAGGGAGGACGATGATGGTCGCGGGCTGTTTGTTTCTCGCCCTCAATCACCGACACTTCCAAGAAACATCAGGCCGCTCGAGGAAGGAGGGAAACTGGGGAATACACGCCCAGGGAGCCAGTCGGAAGCAGCCCTGTCGAGGATGGGCGCCCTTTATTGAACATCCGTACATTGTATATCCCCGAGCTGGGCCCCGAACTTCTGCTGCACTCGAAGACCCTCTGGTGCACTCGAAGACCCCCGGTCGTCAGGGACAGGGCTCGGCACCCCCCCTGTGAGATGGACGGGGCAGACAGCAGGATGAACACGGAGGACGCTGCCCTCTCTGCACCCTCCCCCCCCCGCCTCCAGCCCTCCTCCTCCTCCTCCTCCTCCTGCCTCTCCCGCGCGGCACCGCGGCTGCACCGCCCACGCCTGGCTGCGGTCCGCGGAGCTCGCGCGGCGCCGCGAGCGCCACCGAGAGCCCACGGCCCTCGCGCGCCGCCGCGGGGGCCTCCGAGGGCGGGGCGCCCTCCCTCGAGAGGGAGAGAAAAAGGCCGCAAGAGGCATAGAGCGTGTCTCGGCTTGGCGCGGGTTGCTCGGATCGGCACCGGGGCCCCATCTGCGGGGGCCCGGGCGTTTCGGTTCTCTGAAGGAAGTGTTCAATGTTGGATACATTATCGCAGTCTGGATGCGGACGATGCAACGTGCAACCTGCGTACGTGGATAATCCAGACCTGTGGTGCAAGCGGTGCGGTGCAAGCTATGTGGTGTAAGTTGCTTAGAGCGAGCTGTGTGGTGTTGTTTGTGGTCAGCTACATGCTGCAAGCTACATGGAGAAAGCCATGTGGTGCACGCTACCTGGTGAGCATCATGTTGCGCAATATATGGCGTGTGGTGCAGCACATGGCGTGTAAGCTTTGCTGCTGTGTTCTGCATGCTACGAGGTGCACCGTAGGCGGTGCAAGTTTTTTTTGACAGGATGAAGCGCACTCTGTCCGCTGCAAGGTGCGTGGCCCAAGCCAAGTGATCGACGCAAGAACACGGTGTTGTCGTCACCGACATTGGCGCGCAAGCTGCCCGCGTAAGGTCGCGCGTAAGCGAACTCGTTTTCAGTGTGGCGTGCCTCGCTAGCGGCCCGAATGGTGTGGCGTAAGGCTGCTACGTCATCTCGCAGAATACCTTGGTTGATCGTCGGTCAATTGGCTCCACTTGCGTTGTGTAAGATATCGAAGACGCCTACGGCGAATCACCGCCGCCCCCTGCCTTTTTGGAGACGCCGATGTGGCCGAAAGTTGGATTAGAGCTTGGCCAAGCTATCGGACCATGAGTTCCCCGAGTCGGTTTGGAAAGCTTTCGGGGAACACATGGGAGAGAATGATTATGAACAGGAAGAGGAAGAGGAAGAAATAGAGTAGGAGGATGAGGGTTGTTAGGAGTCTCTTGGGGCACCCTTGGGGTCTGTTGGGGGCTTCTTGGGGGCCTCTTCGAGGCCTCTTGGAGGCATCTTGGGGGCCTCCTTGGGCCTCTTGGGGGCCTTTGGGGGCTTCCTGGGGGTCTCTTTGGCCGTCTTAGGGCGTTCCTGGTCCGTCTGACGCCGTCTGGAGCCGTCTTGGGGGCCTCTCTGGGCCGTCTTGGGGCCCTCTTGGGGCGCTTCAGGGCCGTCTTGGAGGCCATGTTGGGCGTCTTGGAGGCCTCTTGGGCCGTCTTGGGGCGCTCTTGGGGCCGTCTTGGGGGGCCCTTGGGCCGTCATAGGGCCTTCTTGGAGGCCTCTTGGGCGATCTTGGGGGCCTCTTGGGCCGTCGGAAGGCCGAAAAGAAGAAAACGCAAAAAACCTTCAAAAACCTAAGGAAAACCAATGATTTTGGCCTCTTCGGGCTCTCCTGGAGAACGTCTTGGAGGCCTCTTGGGCCATCTTGGAGGCATCTTGGGGCCATCTTGGCCGTCTTGGAGGGCATCTTGGGCCGTCTTGGAGGCATCTTGGAGCCATCTTACCCGTCTTGGAGGCCATCTTGGCCGTCTGGGAGGCATCTTGGAGGCCATCTTGGGCCATCTTGGCCGTCTTGGAGGCCATCTTGGGCCAAGTTGGGGCAACAAAGGCATTGACAGACGGATTTTGGGAAAATTACGGGTGGCCGGCGGGACGGGCCGAAGCCCACTGGGGAGTTCTTTTAGAAAAAGAACCAAAACCAAAACCTGAATCGTCCAGCACGCCGTGCACCCCTGCAAGCAGGGGGCGGCGGATCGAAGACGCCTACGGCGAATCACCGCCGCCCCCTGCCTTTTTGGAAGCGCCTATGTGGCCGAACGTTGAGGCCAGACCTGCCAAGCTATCGGACCACGTGTTCCCCGAATCGGTTTGGAAAGCCTTCGGGGAACACGTGGGCATCTTGAAGGTCATCTTGGCCGTCTTGGAGGCCTCTTGGGCAAGCTTTGGGCGATCTTTGGGGCTTTTTGGGCCGTCTCGGGCCAGCTTCGAGCCAACTTCGGCCATCTTGGTGGGTTCCTGGCACGTCTGAAGCCGTCGGAAGCCGTTTGGGGGGCCTCTATGGGCCGACTTGGGGCCCGCTTGGAATGCTCCAGGGCCGTCTTGGAGGCCATCTTGGGCGTCTGGGAGGCCATCTTGGGCGTGTTGGAGGCCTCTTGGGCCCTCTTGGGGCCCTCTAGGGGCCATCTTGGAGGCCACTTGGGCCATCATGGGGCTCTCTTGGGGGCCTCTTGGGCGATCTTGGGGGCTTCTTGGGCCGTCTTGAGCCGTCGGAGAGCCGAAAAGGCGCAAATGCCAAAATCCTTCAAAAACCAAGGGAAAATCAATGATTTTGGCCTCTTCGGACTCTCCTGGAGGACCTCTTGGAGGCCTCTTGGGCCGTCTGGGAGGCCTCTGGGGGGCCTCTTGGGCCGTCTTGGGCCGTCTTGGACTCTCTTGGGCCGTTTTGGAGGCCGTCTTGGACCATCTCGGGCGGACTTGGAGGCCATCTTGGGCCATCTTCGCGATTTGTTGAGGATGTCCCGAGCGAAACGGCCGTTTTTGGGCATTGACAGACGGATTTTCGGAAACTTGCGGGTGGCCGGCGGGACGGGCCGAAGCCCACTGGGGAGTTCTTTTAGAAAAAGAACCAAAACCAAAACCTGACTCGTCCAGCACGCCGTGCACCCCTGCAAGCAGGGGGCGGCGGATATGATGGCCTTCGGCCCATCCCGCCACGGTTGCCTGGGTTATGGGTACGAAGCCTATTGGATGGTCGTTGGGATCTCGCGGGAGGCCTCTCGGGGGCCTCGTTGGAGGCAATTTGGATACCTCTTAGTGGGCTTCCTTGGGGCGTTGCGCGCCAAGCGGTCTCCTTTGCGTTGTGTAAGCCATGTGGCCACAGCTGCGTGCCCGCCGAGGACCTGGACACTCCAGCCAGCGCACGGAGCGTATACACGAGCCACCCACGCCCGGGGGGCACCGGCGGCATGACCCGGCAAGCCCAGCCAACGCAGGGGAGGCCCACGAGGCTCCCAGAGCCGGGCTCCGGGCCGAGCGACCCGAAAATCTCGTTCGTTCATTGACCCGTCGGTCGCCGAAAGTAGTTTGTTTTTCCCCCGATGCCAAAACCCCACTCCACTTCAGGCGCCTACCTGCTTCAAGAGTCGGGGCGGCTTTCCCTCTTCCCTCCTGGTCAGGGGCGGGCGGAAGCCCGATTCACTTCCAGCCCCGTTCCTGCTGCATGTCTCTACTTGCATCTTCTGACTGGCGGGTACTTGGGCGTCGCTTAATGGGGGGGATGAATGGAGGGGGGGGGGTGTAGCAAGGGGTGCAGAAAAGAGGCCCTTTACGGCCCCTAAACAGACCATCTGGGGCCCAAAAGGAGGCCTCTGGGGCCCGAGAAATGCACCTCTGCTGCCCCCCATAATTCATAGCCGCTTGACGAAACTAAGTCAAACCAGAAACACACATGTTCCCGTGCCCTCCCGAACTTGGTCGTCCGAGCTTCCCCGCCCAGCACCGCCCCAAAGGACCTTGGCCGCCCCCTTATACCCCTCACCTGGCGACTGTTTGAGCTGTACGTGGTCTCCTGGGCTGGGCTGGATCTTCCCAACTCGATTGTAGTTGGCATGCTGCCGTCTGGCGTTGGTGTCACTATGTAAGTGTCAGGCTTGGGTCGACGTGTGCTCCAGGAGAATCGAGGGCCGCTTATCTGGTTGGGTACGCACACCTTGCACGTACGAGCTGGCTCGCAGCCAATCAGGACGTGGGCGTTCGGAGTGGCGCCGCACTCGATTCTTATGTCGCCAGACGCTCATCCATCACTCCGTGCGCGCACCCCCTCATCCTCCATCTTCCAACTACGATCTCTCAGGAGCGAAAGAAGGACGTACATGTACATGAATCCACGCTGGTTTCGAGAGTACGCATTGCGCAAATGTTCGTATAACGCGGCCGGTCTCGCGGATCGAGGGGCCGTGTTCATGTACATAGCTGGGCGCGTACGTCCTTTGTGGGCTCCCTAATCCCCCAGATCAGTATTGACACGCGTCTTTCCTGCCGTGCTTTTTCGCGTGTGTTTCCCATGCTGTTCCGCTCGTTCCGTGGCTGCACGCCCACCCCTCTCTCCGAGATCGATCGCTGCTCGGAAGTGGCCGCTCCCCTCGCCCCTTTCACACATTGCTCTGCCGAGCGCATGGCTTCAGTTTATCTGCGACGCGACGTGAGCACAATGGTTGCCACTACTCACCACCCACCAAACCACCCCAACCCAACCCGAAGGCCCAAATTTATCCTCGATTTCCAGTGGGGGGGGTCGGGGAACGTTGAAAAAACACATGGTATCCGTACCCCCCCCAACCCGAAATTCGGGTCAAATTCGGGTCTTCGGGTTGGGTTGGGGTGGTCTGGTAGGTAGTCAACTACGCGCTCAACCGATCCACACTGTGTTCGCAAGCGCGTCGCAGTCGGTGACCACATTCATAGTGAATCCTGCCTTGGTTCGCAATTGCTTCAGCATGCATCTGGATCCTGTCTACGATTGGCTCAACAATCCGTCGTCAGCCAGGTGCATTCGTTTTACACATAGGTCTCGATGCCAACAATTGGCCACACAGGGCACCGCGAAGACATGGCAGCACGACGATATCGTGGCACCGTCACGCAATGACACAAGGCCACCACGACAACCGGATAATTAGCTCCCACTGTGTCAGAACCGTGTTCACACATGTTCCAAGCTTGATTTACATTTCATGCACCAAAACCTGAAATTGACGCACTCTCAACCCCCAACTGATCACACAGTGGATTCATACAGCGGCACTATGGCAGAGCGAGACCGCGACACCACGTCCCGTACACATTGCCGTACACTGTCAACACGACGGCGCCGCCACACCGCCGCATCGCCGCGCCGCGACACCACGCACCGCTGCCCACCGACAGGCTTGGGAGCAGCAGCAGGACAGACGGGCTCAGATCCAGCTCCGAGAGAGTCCGCCCTCGCCGCCGCCCACAAGCTCTCGCGCGCCGGCTGCTAGTTTTGCGCCGAACGAACACGAACGTGCGATCTGCGGTCGG